GCCCACTTCTTCAGATGCATATATATCCGAAGAAGTGGGCTGTAGTCCACGAAAGCTTATGCTCTAATAAATTTGTTAGTCTCTAAGGTGCCACAAGTACTCCTGTTCTTTTTAAAGGGATTTGGACACATTATTGCCACTTTATGCACCTGAGGCCAAAATTTAGATTTTTAAAATCACCACTCAGCTGCCACTTAACTCTGAAGTTGCTTAAATGCCCACTGGTGAAGTCCCCTAGGTGCCTAAATTTCTGCTAGGTGGCATGTACACAGCTATCAAAATTATTATGCCATCCATGCCCCAGCAGGATTCATGGGAGGTCACCGCTCCACTTGGCACTGCAGAGCCCTCAGCTGGATACTGTGTCCAGTTCTAGGCGAAGATGTGGACAAACTGGAGAGTGTCCGGAGGAGAGGAACAGAAACGATAAAAGGTTTAGAGAACGTGACCTATGAGAAAAGGTTAAAAAAACTGGGCATGTTTAGATTTGAGAAAAGAAGATGGGGGTGGGGGGGAAACCTGGTAACAGTCTTCAAATATGTTAGGGGCTGTTATAAAGAGGACAGGGATCAATTATTCTCTATGAAGACAGGACAAGAAGTAATTTAATCTTAATGGATTTAATCTGCAGCAAGGGAGATTTAGGTAACATATTAAGAAGGGTCATTAAGCTCTGAAATAGGCTTCCAAGGGAGGTTGTAGAATTTCCATTATTGGGCTTTTTTAAGAACATGCTGGACAAACATCTGCCTGGGATAATCTAGGTTTACTTGACTCTGGACTTGATGACCTCCTAAGGTCCCTTCTAGCCGAACATTTCTATGATTCTATGAACTAGACATCACCCTGCCTATCATCTGCAGAAGCCCAACCCAGTAAGCATTTTCATAGGCCAGCTTCCAAGTCAGAGCCAAGGCAGAAGAGGTAGTAACAGTGCCCTCTTATCAGTGGTTAGACTACTAACCCTGGAAAACTCCTATCTGTCTTACTTAGAGCCAGGACTAGAACCCAGGGTTCCTATGAGTTGCAGGTGAGTGGCCTAACCACTGGGCTATTGGGTACTCTGGACTATCAGTCTCCCCTGTTGAATCTGCTCAACTTTGTATAAACTACTTAAATATTAATTGGAGAAGGGGGACTGGAGCCAGGCTCTCCCAGGTGGGTAACCTAATCAAGTCATTCTCTCTCTGGACCAATCAGTGTTTAAGTATTAATCTGTGGATTCCCTTAGGCAGCAGGGCTTGTAACCATCAGGCGTTGCAATGCTTAGTTTAGGTCCCCTTTTTAGATGTAGCCCTGAGAAGATTAAGACCAGGTCTACACGAGCAGCACTTTGCTGGACTGGCTATACCAGTATCCTGTTCCAGTAAAGTGCTCCTAGTGTGGACACAGCGTACAGTGGCAACTTTTGCCAGTATTGCTTATTTCTGTCTCCCTGAGCAAAATAAGCTGTACCGGCAAAAGCACAGCGCAGCTGGTATAACTGTTTCTGCATTAGGGGCTTTTGCCATCAAGCTCTGTCGGTGACAAATTGCGCCTCATCACGCCTGACCCGCCTGGCTATGCTGTCAAAAGTCTGTAGTGTGGACCTGGCCACAGTCTTATTGAAAGCCAGCGGCCCTTAGGCTCCTCAGTCACTGAGGCATTTTGACTGATTGCTCTCATTGGCTTGTTTGACTGATGTTTTTACAATTTGCACACAATTGCAGAACTACAGGTGTTCTCCTTTGTCCATGGGCCTGATCCAAAGCCCACTCTTTTTCCCTTGGTCTCCTCAGTACCTGCCTCAAGCCCCAGGCATGTCACTATTATCCCCCGTACAGAGACCACGCCTAGCTCAGCCATGTAAGTTCCTTGAGTTCTTTATTGCTGCTCAGACAATAGGGTCGTACTGATTCTTGGGTGCACTGAGGTTGCTGGGGGTTGTCCCCACAGTGCAAAGCTGCCCTAAAGCTGGTGAATCTGGCTGAAAGAAGATCCCTGCAGCACTGAGGGATCCACAGGTGTGTAGGGCCAGTGCACATCTGGCTCTGGTGGGGTGACGATTCACATCAGCTGGAGATCTGGCCCAACTGACTCTAATACAATGGCGCCAAAGGTGGATTTGGTACCATAACCCTAGAAGTATGAACTGTGCCTGAGAGGTTGTCCTGTTCCAAGAACTTTCTCACAGAAAGCCCTTCATCATGAATATCGCCGTTTTGGAAACAGTGGATCAGAGAGCGCTGCAGAGTGAGAATTTCAGGCAGGTGCTGTACGTGTCGGATGTGCTGGTGCTGTAAGAGAAAAGTAACCACCTCGTTAACATGATGCCTGTGTTCACTGGGAGAGGAAAGATGTTATGGGGAAGGGCGTCGTGTGGTTTTGATGTTCCTGAAAACATCATGGTTATGTGGGTGTCTGGCTGCTTTGTATCACTGGAGCAATGCAAAGCAGCCAGCAGGGACTGGTCACTCTGGTCCCGAACCCCTGTGAACTTTTTAATAGTAACTACTTTATCCTACAGTTCTCTATTAGACCCTAGGAAAGCTCTGAAAAGGCCCTGCTATCCCACCCCCCTAGCATTTCATACTGGCCATTGCTAGTACATCTGTTGGAATGCAAACTCAAATTGTCCATAGGCATGTGCAGCAGTCAAATGAAGCTGCCTGACTGGAATGGAAGCAGCAGATCACACCTGCCTTGTTTCTCTGGGCCAAATTAAGAGGTGTAGCACAAACAATGATGTAAATTAACCTCCTTGTGAGGATAGCTGTCCTATTTCTTTACACGTGTAACAGGAAGCCTGGTAGAAGGGGAAGAGTTTAAAGTAGGAAAAAAATGGTGTTTTTTGTTTTAAAGTTAGCTTAACACATATTAATTAACTGCTGTTCATAGGACACGTTCCTTGTTCTTGAAATCTGGCTTTATGGGCATAATTTAAACCTGTACATTCTTGTTTAAATACAGACATGATGGGAAACCTAGCATAATTATCTCCTGTCCTTAAATCAAGACCTCAGTCTCTTTCTAAAATATCAATTTTAGATCACCTCGAAATCACTGGGTGAGAGTCTCTGGCTTGGGTTACACAGGACAGCAGGCTATAGACAATTATAACAGCCCCTTCTGGCCTCAAAATTGACAAATATTAGATTTTTCTTTAACCTTGAATATCGCTTCATTGTAGTGGAACAGTGAGTTCAGGGGGGCGAACAACAAGGAGGGAGAAGAGCTACTGAAGCAGGAGGACAATGTTGGCACAAGAACAAATGGGGATAAACTGGCCAGGAATAAACGTAGGCTGGAAACCAACAGAGGAAGGAGGGTCTGGAACAGCCTCCCAGTAGGAGTGGAGCCCAACCCCCTAGCTGATTTTAAGATGGAGCTTGATAAGCTATGAAGGGGTTTGTATGATGAGCAATAGCAGGGGACTGGACACGATGTCCCAGCAGTATATTTTTAACAGTGAGAGTAATTAACCACTGGAATAATTTACAAAGAGTCATGGTTGATTCTCCATCACTGACTGTTTTTAAATCCAGATTGGACGTTCTTCTAAAAGCTCTGCTCTAGGAATGATTTTGGGGCTGTTCTCTGGCCTGTGTTACACAGGAGGTCAGACTAGGTGGTCACACTGGTCCCTTCTGGCCTTTGAATCTATGAGCTTCCTTCTAGCCCTAATGTTCCCATTACTCTAAGGCTATGTCTACGCTAGAGACCTTACAGTGGCACAGCTGAACCAAAGTAAGTTAGGCTGACCTAAGGCCCTGTGTAGACAGTGCTACAAAATGGAAGAATTCTTCCACCAACTTAGCTACTGTGTCTTGGGGAGGTGGATTACCTATGCTAGTGGGAGAATCCCTCCCATGGGCATAGGTAGCATTCTATACTGAAGCGCTACAGAGAGAGCTGTGCCTCTCTAGCATTCTAAGTGTAGACAAGCCCACAGAAACAGAGGTCAGACAAGAACAGGCTAAGAGGGAGAGACTGCCAGAAGGAGGGAGCAGCTGCAAGCCAGTGGGTGACTCTGGCAGAAAGCTGGGAAGAGGTCAGGGGCGCAGGATCAAAGATTGCTCTTGGTACTGTGAGCAACAAAAGCTGTTTCCTGCTAGTTGATTCCCCCCTGTGTTCAGAGACATGAGTCTTTGTTCATTATTTGTAAATAAACAAAACTGCAGTAAAGAAAATACCAGACTCCATCAATTTCTATATCCAACTGGAACATCCACAAGGCCCCAAACTTTAACTAGCCTGTTGGGCTGAAAAGGGGTTACAATGTATTCACATCTCTGTATATGTGTGTGCTGTTCTAACGCATGTGCTGTTTGTGTGTGCACATTACTTCAAATCATCCCAGAGCACCTTGGACAGCAGTTCCAGGAGCACAGGGAACTGGTTTGCTCCATTTTCTTGTTGCACCAGATGGGTCAGGCGCTGGACTGTCATCCTCTGTTCAAATCTCCACATGCAGGGCATGTTGATTGGCCCGCAGCTCGGCAGGTGGCTGAAAGGTGGGGACTGGCCGTAGGCTACTTTCAGGAGAACATTTGAACTGTGAGCTCCCTCCTCTACAATCAGCTGCTTTGCAGAAGCAAGTTTCTGCTCCAGCCCCTGTGGAAGTGAGATGTCAGTTAGGAATCGAGTCTGGTTATAAAGGGGCCTGGCTCTTCTCATTGGTCTGAGAGGCAGCCGGGCTGGCTCAGGGTTAAGACACCAGACTAGAGATCCGGGTTCAATTCTTGGCTCTGCCACCAACTCCCTGTGTGATCTCAGAGAAGCTATTTCATGACTCTGTGTCTCCATTTCTCATCTGTAAAAAGGGGACAATAACCCTGCCCTTGTCTATTTACACTGTGAGCATGGATGGCCCTAGACCAAATGGGGCCTCAGGCGAGGAGCATCTTTGGCGCCTCCCTCCCCGCAATTTTTTAAACATTTGAATATCTTATGTATTGCATTTGTAGCTTATTTCATGGTTCTGATGCACGATTTGCATGCGTGATTTATCTCTCTCAGATAAGATGATAAATTTGCTAACAAAAACAGCACCCCCGAGCCTGGCACTCCCCATGACCGGCAGCCCAGGTGGTTGTTGCCTGCCCCTATATCTGGCTCTGACTGTGAGCTCTTTGGGCCAGGGACTGTTTTTCACTGTGTGTCTGCACAGCACCCGGCATGACAGGACTTTGACCTTGGTTACTGAGTGTCTGTGCAATGCCCGGCACAACAGGGTTCTGTGGGTATGTGTGTGCAGCACCCAGCACAATGGGGCTCTGTGTATGTGTCTGTGTAGTGCCTGGCACAATGGGGCTGCGTTTGTGTGTCTGTGTGTGTGTCCGTGCAGCATCTGGCACAATGGAGCTCTGTGTGTGTGTGTTTGTCCAGCACCTGGCACAATGGGGCCCTGATCTCAGTTAAGGGCAACAGGCCCTAATGCAAAAATAAATAAATATATGCATGCCAGCAGAACTCTTGGAAATGCAGGGTGGCAGGCAGTTTAATACCAGGTTCGTAGACACTCAAACACACAGGGGTTTCCTCTCTAATACACTGAACACAATGGAAAAGTTTCTGCATTGGAAAAGTGAGCCAGGCTTAATATAGTCTATGTTGTTCTATTCAGTTTCTTCTAACGCGCCCATCACTGTGGCATATGAGCACCAAGAGACAAAACAATGGCATTTTAGAAATGTTTTGTGTGACTTCTGGTTTCAGATAGTGGCATGGAAGTCTCAGGTGGTCTTTTTCTGTTTCTCTCTCTTACCCTCAGTAAACAGCTGGTTTATTTGTGATATTTACCATGTATAGAAAACTAGTCCTCACATACCTGGAAGAATGACTGAGTTACAGCTTTTAAGCAGCTTTCCCATTGTACTCTGTCTGCTTTTTCATGCATAACTTTAATAGTCATGTTTGTGTCTGTAAGAAATATACAATTAAACGTCAGCTTTCATCATTTAACATAAAATAAACGAGTAGTTCTAAAGTAGAGGAGTTGCAGTAAATATTGTTATTCATAATAGTGAAATCAATTACAATGTTACCAGGCAACTGGATTCCTGAGTCATAAGATGTAGGAGCACATTAAAATATTAGCCAGTTAAAAATCAGTTTATTGATAGGTTCACAGATTGTAAGGCAGGAGAAAGCGTTATGATAATCTAGTCTGATCTCCTGCATAACACTGGCCATAGAACCTCAGCCAATGATTTCTACACCATGCCCATCACCTCTGTATGAGCTATAGCACATCTTTTAGAAAGAGATATCACATCTTAATGTCAAGACTCCAGGTGGTGGAGAATCCACCTCAACCCTACATGAGCTGTCCCGATGGGTCATTCTCCTCTCTCAAACATTTTGAACCTAATTTTAGTCTGAATTTGTCTCACTTCAGTTTCCAGGTATTTGATTTTGTTTATTTTTCCAGATTAAAGAGTCATCTACCTTTAGAAATCTCCTTCCCTGTGAAGGCACTTTTAGACCAGGCTCATGTCACCTCAACTTTCTCTTGGATAAACTTAATAGATTGAACTTCTTCAGTCTCTCACTATGAGCAAGGTTTTCCAGACCTCAGATTGTTCTTGTAGCTCTTCTTGGATCCCTTACCAATTTGCAACATCCTATTTGATGTGTGGCCTCACCAGTCCCAAATAGAGGGGAATAATCACTTCCCTCGATCTGCTGGCAATGCTCCTACTAATGCAGCCCAATATGCCGTTAGCCTTCTTGGCAACCAGGGCACACTGCTGACTCATATCCAGCTTCTCATCCACTGTAATCCCCAGGCCCTTCTCTGGAAAACTGCTGCCTAGCCATTCGGTCCCCAGCCCGTAGCAGTGCATGGGATTCTTCTGTCCTAAGTGCAGAACTCTGCACTTGTCCTTGTTGAACCTCATCGGATTTCTTTTGCCCCTATCCTCCAGTTTTCCAGGGTACAGACCACCACCTGGTAAGTCTGATCTAGGCTCTTTGTTCCTTGATGTGTAACCCTGCAGTTAGCGGTGTTAAAATGCCCCTTGCTCAAATTCACTGTACATTTTGTCATAACTACAGCAGCAGCAAACAAAAAAAAAGTCCCTAAAACGAGGTGTTTCTTTACCGGCTGTGCTGTTGAGGATGTATCCGAGGAATAGGTGGACTGTCATCGTTGCATCGTCTATGATTCCACTAAGTGACTCCGCTAGGAACTGGATGTCTTTTTCAAGGTGGTTGCAAAAGAACTTTACTGCGTCCTGGGGCTTCACTTTCATTAGCTCCAAAATGGACTAGAAGGCAAAGTATTTCCATAGCTTAGCTCTGAGGAAGCATTTCCCCTCATAATTGTAAAGACACCTTTACAGAGGCAATGTATAACTCAGTCAAAGATACCATTACAAATTAAAGCCAGTTAGTGGTGTACATACAACGCTGATGAGTTATGACAGACAGACAGACGTTTTGCTGGGGGCATTTGTTTTCCCCACCTGTCTATCGGTAAAAGTCCCCAGGAGCATTGAAGAATGGAGCAGTGCTCTAGCGATGCAGACTGAGGTTGCAGGCAGATCCCTCTCTGTCTCATTGTTCCGTGAGGACGGACTCCCCAGCACGTAGCCTCTCTCTGTTTTATCCTTCATGCTGTATTAAGAAACCACAATTTATTTGACAGTCATAGAGGTCAGACTTTTCTCCCAAAATCTTATATTTTTTTCAGTGTTTCACCCTAACCACAACTATAGTGACCATGGGGTCAGACTGGAGTGGGGGGGAAAGCATTGGAATTTTGAACTTTCAATGAAATTTCCCCAGTAAACAATACCTAGACAACTGTGTGGGTTTAAGTTGACACAGTCCCATTAATTCCTTTTACATTACACGCAATGATTTTAAACTTACGTATCTACTTTCTCAAATCCCTCCATGGGTTTGTGATGAGTCCCACCGACCTCGGAGTCACACATACATTTCATAATCTCCATGGGCAGTCCACACTGTTGTCACAGGGATAATGTCAGCTTTAGTCACGTCTTAAAGCCCCAGCAATGCAACAATTGTACAATGGTTTGCTCAGCTGCTAGCCAGACAGCATCACTCTCTGCAGCTGAGCAAGAAACAGACTTTGCACAAACCACTGGAGGCAGAAATGTTAAGAAGTGTGAACAGGAATGACAGTGAGTGTGCAACACACTGGCCTTGTGCATAGGATCATGTTCTCAAAGTAGCCTAGTGCAGTTAGGGCTTGTCTACACAGCCCCTCAGTGCACAGCAAGTCGAGGTGTGAATGTACACGAACCAACTGTCTGTGTGGCACCTGCTCCCGCATGCTAAAAGTGCTGTTGAATCAACAAAAACAATGAGAAGTCCTTGTGGCACCTTAGAGACTAACAAATTTATTTTAGTCTCTAAGGTGCTACAAGGACTCCTCATTGTTTTTGCTGATACAGACTAACATGGTTACCCCCTGAAACCTGTCACCATGCAACTGAATCAGTAGTACATCAAAGTGCAATATGGAACTTTTAGTGCACAAGAGGCAGCAGTGTCCACACGGTGACTTAGTGCTCAGGACAGTGCTCAGGACAGTGTGCTGTTCATTCACACCCCGCACACAAAGTGGGATGTGAATGAACAGCATTCAGGGGGTGATGGTTGCCTAGCTCCTTTTGTGTGTATAAAGCACGGAATGTACGCAGAATGAGTATGACTGATAATGGCAAGGCAAAACCACATCGGTCACTGTTTAAAACCACGTTGCTAGAACGGAGGAGGAGGATTAGGTGCAGGGTACTAAGACCTGAAGTTGGGAAGGCCCAGATCCACCAAGGTACTTCACGGCTAAGCCCCAATTTCAGGCATCACTGCGAGCCCCAAAACTCCTGCTCTGGTACCTCCTAACCCCGTAGACATCTACACTCACTGAGCACCTCTGTTTTCAGGGGACAAGTTCCCTCAGTGCTGAAGTTTCTGCCTCTGGGCATGTGCACTGCTGGCCCGTGCTAGGTGTCCAAATGCCGATTTCCTGCCTCAGCCCCAGAGCAACCCACGAACCAGCGGAAGACAGGAAAAGGAGCCTGTTCAAAACCTAGCCAGAGGAAAAGGTTTCTTCACACCTTTCAGCCTAGTGGTTAGAGCCCTCACCCTGGGTGTGGGAAGTCCAGGTTTAATTGCCCCTTTGGCCCAAAGGATTTGACCTGAGGGCTCCTACTTCCCAGGAGGGTGCCCTAGTCACTGAGCTATGGGATGATCTGATGGGGCTCCCTCAATCTCTCCTGGTGAAGCTGTCCTGCTGTGGCTAAGCAATGTCATTGGAACAAGGAGACTGGACCCCTGGGCCTCCCACCTCTCTAATCACTCGACTGCACATTCCTTCTCACCACCACCACCTCCTCCTCCAGTTGTTGTGTGGAGTGACACAGGCTTCATACAGATACATCTTTGGATATGATGAAACTCTAGTATCACAGGGGACTAGCTTAGATGCACAGTAGTGAAAATCTCAATCTTTGTGTTGAGTGACCCAGAAACAACTTAGGCACCTAAGCCCCCTGACTCTAGGGGAGGGGTTCCCATTCATGGATCACTAGGCAGAGCTAGGCCAGCGCCTCCCTGCTGGCTGGACCAAGGCACCTACCTCTCTGAGAGGGGAAGGGCTTAGTACATACTCCACTGATCAGCATCTCCCATTGGCTGGCATAGGCAGTGCCTCCCCTAGCATGCTAGCTTGGTGTGTCACATTCTCATGCCTGTCTCTGTCCATGCATTGTATAGGGAGCTAGGCACCTAACTCAGGCTCTATGGATCCCACCTCTGCTCCAGTGCTTTTCTAGGCAACTAAAAGTTAGGTGTTGTGACGTGCAATGTCAAAACACCTAACTCCTTTGTGAATCTGGGCCGAAGGCATTTGCAGGGCAAAAGCAATTACCTCTGCAAATACCACGTTTTGTTCTTACAGGCCATGCCATGGAACAATTTATATTCAATAACTGTCTCCACAGACACATCTGCACATGGAACCCACTTACCTAGGGTTACCATTCGTCCGGATTTACCCGGACATGTCCTCCTTTTTGTGCTAAAAATAGCGTCCGGGGGGGAATTTGTAAGTCACTCAAAATGTCTGGGATTTCCCCCCCGGCAGAGCAGAGCGAGCGGCTGGGAGGGCTGCAGGAAAGTCACGGGCTGGACTCCGGAGCAGCTGTAGAGCTCCTCCTCCCCCCTCCCTCCCTGCATTCTGAGCCGGCAGCTCCTCCTCCCCTGCAGCCCAGCGCCCGGCTCCCGCAGCACTGTGCAGGGCCAGGGACCGGGTTTTGTGTTGTGCTGGGGAGCGCAGCCACGTGTCCGGCTCCACACAGAGCCCAACACCCTGTTCTGAGCAGCAGGGTAAGGGGGCCAGGGGGCCAGGGGGCAGGAAGGTTCTGGAGGGGGCAGTCAAGAAACGGGGGGGGCTTTTTGGGGGGGGGGGGGGGAAGTTTTGGGCGGTCGGGGGACAGGGGGGGGGGGGGGGCCTGGGGGGGGGTTGGGGGGGGGGG